TAAGGGTAACCCTTTCACTTGACAAATAGGTAAGTTAAAAGAAAGGTTAGATAGAGTAGTTGTAAATGATGATAGGATATTTTCCTTTCATAATACTTCAATTATTCCTATTTTGAAGTTTGATCATGTTAGACTTTAACTTAAATTCAGATCTAAAGATAGTCTTATTTCTTTCAAGAAACCATTCAAATTTTTGGCACCCTAATTGTTCCATCCTAATTTTGCAAATCAGGTTTAATATTCCTATATCCCTTCTAGTTCTTGGTTAGATGGTGTTCAAAGATTCAAATCCAACATTTCTTATTAGAATATATCCATTTTTTTTCAATAATTTTAATAATGAAAAATTTTTATTTAGTGGAATTACAAGTATTTCTCGTAAGGTAGGTGCCATGGATAACCTTTTTTAAAATAAGCTCATGAAATCTCTTTAGACTAACTAACAACAAGTTCTAGATCTTGAATAATCCTATTGGTATCACCATTATAAGACTAAGTGGCTTAACTTAAGATATAAGAATTCAAAATTTTTTCATAAAGCTTATGTTTTTAGAAGGAATAAAAATGTGGTTGAAGCTCTAAAAAATGAATCTAGTAATTGGAAATATGATCCCTCAAATCGATAATCTGTGACTCTTAATTATTTTATAGATATCTACTCTAATCTCCCTCCCTTTGATACTATCGTTTCAACATTAAATTCCCTTTCCCTCCCCCCACGTAGGGATTCAGATAAGCATAGGTAAAGATGTTAGGGCTTCCTTGTTCAGTATTAGTAATTTCAAATTCCCTAGGCCTGATGGGATCCATGCACCTTTTTTTTATATAAAAACTTGTGGATTATTACTAAGTTACTTTGCTAATAGATTGAGAGCTTCCTTTCCTTACCTTATCTTAACTAACTAGACAAATTTCATTATTAGTAAACAAAGCATTGATAATGTCCCTATTCTGCAGGAGGCAGCCCATTTTTTTCTTTGTTTTGAAAGGTAGGAATAACTATATGATTAGTAAATTAGATTTAGAAAAATTCTATAATAAACTTTGATGAAACTTTATTACTGAAACCTTCTAGAAAATTGGCCTTACTACTGATCTTATAAATTTGACCCATTATTGCTCTTATATGTTCATTTATTGTTAGAATAATGACTTGATTGATTCCTTTACCCTTGTTAAAGGCATTCATAAAGGGGATCCTCTCTTTCCTTACATTTTTCTATGTATAGAGAAACTTGCTCATCTAATTAAAGATAAAATTAGGAGTGATGAATGTGCCCCTTTTTCCTACAATAGTGAGGGGCCTAAGGTGTCTCATTTCTTCTTTACTAATGACATAAGGTGTCTCATCTCTTCTTTATTAATGACATTATTTTGGTTGCTAAAGCTAATATTCAACAAGCTAATTTGATAGAAAGTTTTGTCTGATTTTTGTTCTATTTTTTACTTAAAAATTAAAAATAATAAATTCTCTATTTTTTTCCCTCTAATAATACTGACCTTGCCCTCAGTAACTCCATTTTTTACTATTTAGGTATAAACTCCTCTAATCAGCTAGGTAAATACCTTGGTATCCTTATTTTTTTATCATAAACCTACTAGACACCTCTTTTCTTTTCTTATTGGTATGATTAGAAAAACATTTCTTTTTGGAAAATGAATTCTTTATCCTTAATTGATAGAATAACTCTAGCTCAATATTGTCTTATGAGCATTCTTTCTTATATTATGCAATCTCTTATTCCTTCTTCTATTTGTCAAGAGATTAATAGTATTTGTAAAAAAAATAAAAATTATTTGGGAATCCTTAGGTGGTAGAAATGAAAGAGGGCTCGGTTTTAAAGATCTTTGTACCCTTAACAAAGCCTATATGATGAAACTATATTAAAGGCTTATGACATTCCCTTCTGATCTTTGGGCTCAAGTACTTACTGAGAAATACAAATTTAAGCTTAAAAGTAACCTGCATCTTAAAAATATTCCAAAAGATTCTCATTTGTGGAAGAGCATAATGTCTGTCTGGCCTCAATTTTTTAAGGGTCTGGGTTAGATTGTACGAATGGTATGTCTATTAAGTTTTGGAGGGTCTGAGTCCTAAATTTTAATAAAGTTTCTAATTTTTCTAATATTCATGTTTTCGCTTTGAAGTTGGATTTTCCTGTTGCCATGTTCTCTGCCAATAAGGATTGAGACTAGGGTAAAATTCAATTTCTTCTTCTTACTTAGGATTGCCAATCTATTGCTCATATTAGGCCTCTTGATAAATCTAAATAATTTTGACTGTGTACTGGTCTTTAACTAGTAATAGAATATTTTCTATTAAATACGCTTACTAATTGCTTAGTTACACTATTCATTATGTTAGGTCGGGTCAGGATCTGTTTAAATCCATTTGGAATTGGGAAGGTCCTCCTAAAATTACTTTTCTCTTTTAAAAAACTACTCATGAAAAATTCTTGACTAATGAAGAAAGATTTAAGAGGAAACTGTTTGATTCTCCAGTATGTCATAGGTGTGGTGAAGATGAGGAATCTATTATGCATGTTTTTAAGCCAAGGTAGTCTGGAGCCATTTCATTTTGCTTTCCTGGTGAGTGAATTTCTTTAGTGCTGGGTTTTCTAGTTGGTTACTAATTAATCTGTTTTTCTCTAGTTTAAGCAATTTCCATAATTGAAATTTAATATTTTGCATTGTTATTTGATATTTCCAAAATCAGTCTATCAAACCTGTTGTGTTTGGATGTTTGGAAGGAGATGGAGGAAAGAGTCTGAATGAGAAAATAGGGGAGGATAAGGAAGGGGAAGGAGGGTTAAACCTTTCCTTTATTTGGATGTTTAATATTAAAAAAGGAAGGTGATGAAAATTTAATCATGTAAATGACATGATTGTTTTTTACATCTTTATTCATAGTTTTTTTATTTTTTCAAAATATAAAAAAATATATTTTTCTCTCTAAAAATTAATATTTTTATTTTTTATAAAATTTTAAAAAATATTCTCACGTTAAAAACAAACATATTTTGAAAAAAAAAATAGAATCATAACCTGAAAGAGCATGAGAGCGAAAGAGAGAGAGAGAGAGAGCTCATAAATTGGGGGAACTCATGTTAGGGGAGTTTTTTGGTTTTGAGGGGTTTAGAAAAACATTCTAACCATTCTCCTCATAATTAATTAACTTTCAAATAAAGGTTAAACTCTACTAATCCTTCATTTTCCTTCCCTCCCATCTTAAACATAAAATCTAAACATAGTTGAAGGCTCTCTATGATGCTGATTTTTATTCTTTGTATTGCAGGAATAATTCTTCATCTTTGTCTAATCGAATTGTGGATCAAAGAGGGGTTAGATGGATCCTTCCCCTTGCTTGTCACCTAAAGTTGAATGTTGGTGGGGATATTTCCAAAGCCTATAGTATTGCTGCCTGTAGTAGTCTAATTAGTGATGCTTAAGAAAAGTTTATTGTTGATTTTTATAGCTAGATTGATCTATGTTGTCCTTTAGCTATTGAGGTTTGGAGCTTATATTTGGGTATTCAACTGGTTGTCTAACAAAATTCTCTTATTGTTTGGATTAAATCTTATTCCAAGGAGGGGATTATTCTTATTTTGAATGTATAGAATAACTTCAAATCCTTTATATCCCTTATTTTGTAATATTAGAGAAGCTTTTGAATCTATTATATATGGTAGGCTGTTGCACATATATACATAAGCCAATTTGAACTCTGTTTTCCTTGCTAAAATAGAGTTAGAACTCATTTCACCTTAATCTTGGTTTAAGGATGTTCCTTCTTCTCTTTCTTTCTTTCTTAGTTTAGATGAAACTTCTTATTTCCTAAACCTCTTTTCTAAGATTTTATTTGTGTTGGACTTTTAACCCATTTGAATAATAGTAAAAAGTAAAAGTTAATTTTAACTTTTAAAATTCCCACTTACTCTTAACAAATATAATTAGTTAATAGTAAATTTTTTAATTAGTATATTTTATAAGTATTGATTAAAAATTTAAATTTTTAATTAAAAATGTAAATTTACTTTGTATTTTTAATGCATCTTAATAATTTTGTTAAAATCTACTATTGATTTCAACTTAATTTTAACAAATGTAATTAATTCATTTCAGCTTTCAAAGTAAATTATAACTTAATTTTTACAAATATAATAGTGTTCACGAAGTTTTGTAAAGTATAAAAAGACAATTTTTTACATAAAAAGTCACTCAAAAGATAATTTTAATTATTATTAATAGCATATAAATAATTTCATGGCATGACATTGATTGCCACAGTGAATATTAATTATTCTATTATTTTAAAAGCATTTATTTAGAAAATTATATTAAGTTTTATAGTAATATTAAGTTGGAAATGTTAAATTTTCATATTTAGTATAGATATTTCAGAATATTAGTTTTTTTAAAATATTTTTAGTTAATTTTTTTAAGAAAATATTCTGACGAGAAATATGAGATTACAAAATCCAACAGAGTTTTTTTATAATATAAGAAAAATATAAAACACACTTATTAGGTGACAATGTTACACACTTCTAGAAAACATAATTCTTATATGATTACCACAAACTAAGAAGAAAATTCACACACCAAATACTGTCATAGAGAATGTCACACACACTTCTAGAAAACATAATTCTTATATAATTCCATAAACTAAAAAAGAAAATCCACACACAATCACAGAGAATCTCAGATGTAATATTTTTAATTCATGACCATTTTGTTTTTTTTCTAAATATGAAGTAAATTTTGAAATTCATTTAAATATTTTAACAAATATCAAATTGAAATAAGAAATAACCGATTTATTTAAAACAATAAAAACAATATGACCGTATGAAAAAAAATAAAAATATGAGAACTGAGACAAAAAGCCGATGAAAGCCCATAAGCTTAACGAAATATTTGGAAAATAAAAGCCCATGAAATAATGTAGCTTTGGCAATTGGCCTACTACTACTCGCTGATTTGCCAGTCTCTCTCTCACACAAACACAAAATCCTCTAACTGCTGCAAAAGGAGTTTCATGAAAGAGGGTGCAGAGTGGAATACATAGACGAGACAACATCAATTGCGCCAAAATGTACCCACAGCAACAGCACCATGTTCCCTTCACCAACGTTCATCAACCCTACTGTTCTGCCAACCCCTTCTTGTTGTCTTTCCCTCTCAATTCCGATTCTGCTCATCATCCTCCAGCCACCGACCCACTTGCAAATTCAACCCCTTCTTCTGTTGCTGCACCTTACTCTTCCCAATCCTTTGATTCTCACAACTGGATCGTCAAACAAGCTGACCCCGTCACATTTGATCATGTCAGTGCCCACCCCTTTTCATCAAACTTCCCATATTTCGGAACAAAATCCTTTTCTTCTTATGTTTTTCCATTTGGGCTGCTTTATGTGTGCCTATCTATCTATGCATTTTTTGGCCCTTCTCTTTTTGCTTCAAGTTCTTTTAATTTTTTTTCATTGTTGTATTTTATGTAAGTTGTTAAATCATAGAGGTTGTTGTGCAATTGTGAAATTTTGAGGGTTGGGATTCGTCTTTATCTCTTTTAAGTAATACGTTTGAAGAGGGTTTGGATATCCTCTTCAACTCGGGTGTCATTTAGTTATTTTACATTTTTTTGGAAAACCCAAACCAAACAGTTTTACTGTAATGGAATTAAAATTTCAAATTGATTAGTCATGATCTCATGCCCAAAAGAAGGAGACTTGGCAGCCATTACTCATTAACTATGTGTCTCTTTGTGGCATGTCACTTGTTGCTTTATAGTTCTTTGTTACTGTAATTCTTTTCAAGTACAGTTTGAGAAATGTGAAGGAAGAAGATAAAAGAGTGGTATTTTTTATAATCTATGTTAATGATTCAAATATTTACTTGAGTAGAAATGGGAGGAATTGCAATATATATTGTTAATCTGGGGTGTAGCATATTCAATTATATAAATCAGGGTGAAAGTATAATGAGACTAATAAATTAGGGAGGTAAACTGCATTTGACCCCTTATATAATTGAAAGCTTCACTTATGCATTATGATTTTGAATGCCAACGTTTCTGATATGCAGGCTGTTGGTCCATCGCATGAAACTTCGGCAGCATCTGCAAGTTTTCCTATCACATGGAATGGCACATGGTCCCATCAAATTTTCACTAATGATGCTACGGTAGTGTCACCTAACCAAATCAGACTCAGCAAACCAATTAGATGTGAAGTTTGCAAAATTGATTGTAATAGCAAAGATGTTTATGAAAAACACATATTGGGAAAGAAACACAAAAGGAATTTGCAGGTGCAGACTAATCCTCCAAATTCATCATTAGCAGGACCCTCTTATGCAAGTGTACCAAGTCAAACAAATAGTATCCAAGGAAAAGTGTCTGATGGTGCTGCAGGCAAGGAGTTAAAGTCTAAGGAACAAAAGCTTTCAAATGGTGGTTCAACCACTGATTCTGCCAAAGTTTGCACAGTATGCAACATTGTGTGCACTAGTCAAGACGTATATAACAAACATCTAGCTGGGAAAAAGCATACTGCTCAGGTGAATTGTAAATTGATAGCTCTTTTGTAAGCTTATATTATGATGAGATCATATATTTTTCTGTTTACTCTTCATTCTATACCACAGTTGACAATTTGTTTTGGTGGTTATCTGAACACAATGCACAGTAGTGGCACACTTCTGTATGCATAATTTCTTACACCCCATTAAACCTTAGATTGTTCTGACAGAACCAGGGCATTAAACAGGAGAATTATTTTTCTATCATTGCCTATTCTCTTTGTACTGGTTTACAAACTGTTGTTACAATTAAATTTTGTTTTGAATGTTTTTAACAAAGAAATTTGATATTGCTCAGCCACATTCGAATTTTTTTCACTTCAATCTAATAAATCTCGATTACATAGATATGATAAATAAAATGGTTATATGTTAGGTACTCATACATTCTAGACCATGTGGTAAATATGAGTAAAGGACAGCATGGATTTGGGTTGTAACAACCTTGCCTATGTGGCAATGAGAGTAGGAAGGAAGGGGAAACGGTTAGAGACAAAGATACAAGGGAGCAAAATGAAGGGGAGAGAACAGGCAGTCATTGAGTGAGTTTTGGGGCTTTTGGGCAGGGAGGTACTAACTCTCAAAGTTTTGCAGTGTTCTATCCTTTCTTTATTTTGTTTTTTGTGTAATTCTCATCTCTGTAATTGGGATTTATCCCTGTTTTGCTGTAATAATACCTAGTACCTATGATGGCATTGATGATGTCTGTTCAGAGTGACAGGTTATACTTCTTTACTCATCCACTCTGACTGAGAAAAAACAGGGTGGGTCATGGGTGGGAGAATTTTAATAATTGTATATGCTTTTCTTTTTCTCTATTTCCTTTTTCTTAAATTTTTAAAACTATTGCATGTGCCATCTTGGGGCAGCATGTTCTGATTAAAAACTATCACAATGTACGCCGTTGGCACACTTGTATGATCTTGAGTGCTGGGGACATAATTTCTTATTATCCTTTATTCTGTTCATCTCATTCTAATAGAAGCAGAAGAGTAAACAAGAAAAGAATTAGCTGACTATCTTGTTAAACTCAATTTCTTATTATCCTTTATTCTGTTCATCTCATTCTAATAGAAGCAGAAGAGTAAACAAGAAAAGAATTGGCTGACTATCTTGTTAAACTCTTGATCTTTGTTTTACTGCAACTGCAAGCACTATTGTTATGACTAAGTCTCTGTCTTGACTTGAGTGTTATATTACAAAGGCTTTTTAATTTTTGATGAAGGGAGTGAGGACCTGATATTGCCATACAGGAATTGATAAACTGTTAACTAATTCTTTTATTTTTAATTTTATATTATCAGCTTTACAGTTGACCTCTTTTATTTTATAATGAACTGCTTTCAAATGGAGACTGCTTATTAACTTATTACATTTAGATTTATTATTATTACTTTTTTGCCATCAGATTCTCAGTTTGTATTTCTGTAGATTGATCAATGAAGTTGTTGTATTCATAACTGCATTTTGCTAAGTTGCACGTTATTGCTTTACTTGTTGTAATGCGAGAAAAGTGTTAAGGTGGGGAATCATCAGGTGATTATTTCTCAACTGAGCACTGTTCTTTTGGTAACTCTAGGTAGGCTTGATGTTAAATAATGGGATTGGTCCATACATTGCTGCATTTAAGCATCAAGGCATTGGTCCTTGGAAGAAATCTCCAAAGAAAATCAAGGTTGATCAATCTGCATGGTGTGACGTATGTAAGATTAAATGTAATAGCAGGGACGTGTATATTGTACACTTATGCGGGAAGAAACACATGAAGAACTTGGAGAAACTGTCAAAACCAAAAATTGATGCTGGTGATGTTACTGCTGTTGTGAATGCTTTACAAGAAACAGCAAAGCCGATAATTGGGCCGCAGGAAAAGCCAGGTACAGATAAACCAAAATCACAGAAGGCACCAGAAATGGATATTGAGACAAAGAAGCGTAAAGTGGTAGAAGGTGGGGCTGCAGAAGCTTCTGTTAGAATTTGCACCCTATGCAATGTGGTGTGCAACAGCCAGACAGTTTTTGATACTCACCTCGTTGGGCATAAACACGCTGCAATGGCGAAGAAGCAGGGAGAGTCAACAGGGGAAACTACTTGCTGAGATGATTATAGCCATTGTGCCATCTAAATGTGGTGAGAAAATGTAGTGATCACTTTGCTAATTGTCAAGTTTTCACGCTTTTATTAGCAATTGGATGTGTTGTATAGTTTGTTATGTCTACGAGAGGAGCCTACAGTTAGTGTTTTGGAATATAATTATTCAATAACATTTGGTTAATAGCAGTAGTTGTCAATAGCGTGTGATAGCGGTGGTGCATGGCGGAGCGGCATTCCACGATGCAATAGCGCCACCATAGGAAAAGAAATTAACTTTCTTTTTTCTATCCTTAAAATAAGGAATTTTAGAGTTTTTGCACAAGATTAGATTTAGATCACATTATTTTGAAATATGGGGAGTTTGTCTATTATAGAATTTAATGATCAGGTTTCATCAAACTTGTGTCAAGCCTGGACATTAGGGATGCCAAATTGATTTATTTGGATTATTAGTTTGCCTTCTGTTTAATCCCAAGTTCCTGGCTTGATCAAAGTTTTTCGATGTTATTTATGATACCTACGTATTTTTCCTCTCCTTGCCTCTTCCATATTCATTTTGACATGATCTAGAGTTCAAATCATTATTAAGATGTGTTTGGCAAAACTAACGAATAAGTTTAAACCTGAAAATTGAAAAGTTAGCTTTAAAACATAAAAGTTAAAAGATGATGAGTTAACTATTTTTTTTTAGTAAAATTAGTTATTGAATTAACTGATACATGTAAAATGATATATAAAATATGATTAATTATTTGATCAAAACTTCAAATTTGGTAATTATATACTTCTAAATAATTATAAAACTATTTTAATTTGTTTAGAATTATTTATCATGTTAAAAATTAGGATAATGATTTTTTAATTTTACTTGCATTTATAAAATATTTTTATCAAATGAAATGAGATCATTTATACAAATTAAAATTTATATTATAAATAAATAATTTTTTATTATTTTATTAAATAAAAATATATGTGAAATCAATAAAGGAGATATTACGAAGACGATATTAGGTTTCTAGAATTAAATGGATAAAATAATGATTACAAAATAATGTTAGGGATAAAAAATGAGAAAAGTGCATTCAGAATAGTAAAACAAAAATATTAAGAATTACTTATTTTAGCTACTTTATCAAATACAATTTAAGTAAGCGCACTTTAAGCTTTTTTAATTATATTTACCATCCAATTTATCATCATATTTTTAGAAAAAAATAATAATGAATGATTATATAGAAAGTGATAAATGTTTCTGCAGTGAGAATAAATATTTGAAATTGATTTAATTATTACTTTAGATCATGCAAGATCAATGAATCAATATTTTATTTTATAATGATGAAAAAAAAATCAAAGTTTTAAATTAAAAAATACTGAATATTATATATATATATATATATAATTTTTTTTTCAAGGATTGTTTTGAACAAAAATGTTGATAATATCATTAATGAAATTGATATATTTTTAATTATTGTGAAATAACTAAAATCATATTATATTTAAGACCTATGATAGTATCATGATATTATTTATAACAAATTTTGAATATATATTTAAGGGCATACAATTAAATTTATACGTAATAACTTTATATTAAAAATTATAAAATTTAATGTATTAATAATATTAATTATTATAATTTTTATTAAAAATATTATTTATTAACTTTTTATCGTGCATATACACGTAAAAAGAACTATATTTATGATTTTCCTTATCTAAGTTTATCATCCTTTACTTTTGTAAACTGTAATGATACTTCATATTTAAGGTTTGTATGACAAAATTAGCAATAAATTAATTGAAAAGATAGCTGAAAAAAAAAAGAATAGCTGGAAGCTGAAAGATAAAAATTAAAAACTGATAGACTAATTAATTGAATTGAAAGTATTTGATAAAGTTAATTAATAAATGTAATAGTAATATGAAAGATAGTAAATTCAATATTACTCTAAAAAAATTTTATGGGTATGTAATGTACCCAAAAAATTTAGACTACATGTGTCAAGTTAAAAAAACATGATTATATGTAATTTATTTAAAGTTATATTATTTATATTATTTGTTATATAATTTTATTATTTATATACATATATATATATATATATATTGTATATTGTATATTTAATTTTTTATTTTAATTTTTATCAATTTTTTATAAATTTTTAGTATAATTTTTTTTATTTTTTCAAAATTTTTTTTTTTATTTAAGTAATTTTTATTTATTATAAATAAAAAATAATTCTAATATAATATATTAATATAATAATTAAATATTAATAATAATAGAATTAAGAATATAGAAATATATTAATATAATATTTTTTTTAATTTTAGTTAGTTTAGTTTTGATTGCATTTTATTTCTATTCAAAAATTTAACTGCTCCTTGTTTAAATATAACAATTTATTATTAAATAAATTTAATATAAATTATATTTTATTTGAAACTAAAAATTTATAAAAAAATAAAAAAAATAAAATAAGATTTTAAATATATATAATAGTAATAATAATAATAAGACTATATAGCAAATAATATAAATTATATATAATAACTTTTTTAACTTGACATATGTCTCTTTTTTATTGTTTTAAATTTTTTGAGTATGATACTTAAAATTTTTTTTAGAATACTACAACACATGCCTAAAATTAATTATTTCTTTTTAAAGCACCAAATTAATTATTACTTTTTGATGTACTAATGTTTATTTATTATTTATGTGTGATTTTAAATTTTAATTAAATAAATTTAAATACTAGTATAAAAATGTTGATAACATGTTTATGAAAGAAATAATTTTTTTATAATTTTAATTTTTCTTGTGAATGACAATGCTGACCATGACAAAAAAAAAAAAAGGAATATTAAGTTTCTAAAATGGAATAGGCTAAAAGAAGAATCACAAAACAAATGTTGAAAGTTCAAAATAAAAAGTACTTTCAAACTAATAGGTAAAAATTAAAAATTGTTAATTAAAGCAAACTTTCAAAAAATGTTACTAACTATTTAATTTATGAATTACAATTATTTTTATTAAATAAACTTTTTAACTAATAAAATAAAATTTTAATTTGCCAAAACTCTCAATCACCCAATTGAGTACAATACCAAAGTCAGAGGGCCAACAACATTTTTGAATGGCTTAGAATGTTCCCTTTGAATATAAAAATAAATACATTAACAAACATGCAACATAACTAAGCACGAAAGAGACGATGACAGGGAAAAAATTTAATACCACATGGGAAAGTCATCAAAGTCGTTCGATTTTTGGTCTATAACGGCACCCAACACAAATCATTTTATAAGCTCCGCTGTGGATTAATTCAAACTTTTTCTTAGGTAAGTTGTGGGTAAAAATAATTGATTAAAAGCATTTTTAAAATCTGATATTTTTATAATTATTTTTTTCAAAATAAATTAGAGGATGAGATGTTTAACTCTTATGTTGGGAACCCTTTCTGTTTGTGGATCTTGTCTTATCAATTATGAATTGATTTTATTTATAAATAAAGCTTTTTATTTGAGCAACTACAAAATATAAATTTTTTCATAAATTCGGTTTAATTATATTTTAAATTTTTTTCTTTTGAATATGTTTGATTTTAGTTTCTTGAATTTTTTAACATATTAAATTCTACTTTTAAAAGTTAGCAAATTTATTTATTTATTGTTATTTTTTTTATATTTGAATTTTTAGAGAGTTTATAATGAAATTGGAATATGAACCAATTTTAAAAAGTAAAAAAAAAAAAAACTTTAAGAAGTTAATAAAATTTGAAAGATTTTATAAGATGTAAGATTGAAGTTGAAAAAGAAAAAATTGATATCTTTTTAGGTTTCGGCTACAGCTACGCTTTCGAGAAAGTAATTTCTTGTAAATATTTTAATATATACCTGCATTCTGCATAGTAGAAAATAGTTTAATTTGTAAATATTTTGAATAAGTAAACGGGAATTCAAGAGTTTCAATTTTTTTTTAAAAGAAGAAAAACTAAATTTACTAAGTTTTAAAAATAAAAAACTTAATTAACTAAAAAATTATAATTTTGTTAAGCTTAGTTTTTAAGATTAATTTTATATATTTAAAGATAGAAAATTTTTATTGAAGATATTTTTATTGTTTTATATTCTTAATATAATAAATACATTAGTTTTTGATAAAAAAATATTATCTTAAACTTTAAAGACTGAAAATATTGGGAATTAATTAATAATTTACATTAGTAATTTATTTTATATTTGCAATCAGTTTATATATTTTATGTTTCTAAATTTGATGATATTTGAAGGAGTCTAATTTAGCTTTCGTTTTGATAATTGAAGTTGACATTTGATGTTAGCAAACATAAAATATATAAACTGATTGCAAATAATAAAATAAATTACTAATGTAATATTATTAATTAATTCCAGAAAGTCCACAGTGAATTTTGAATTTGCTCATATCTTTCTTTTGCTTGTACTCCTTTCTCGTGTTGTGACTTTTATCAACGCGATTTTGCAGAGCTTCCGCGTTGAAACCGTCCTTCCAATCCAACCCACTTATATTTTGTTCTAACTCTTCTCTTTTCTTCGTTCCTTCAATTTCATTTTTCTTCTTCTTCTCAAGGTACCTACCTCTCTTCCTTTCACTTTGTACCATTGCTTCTGTTTTCTTCGTCTGATTTTCTACTTTTCAGTTCCAATTTTCCTTTTTTTGATGTTTGTTTCTGTTACCCTTTTTCATCTCATATTCCCTTCTGTTATGATCATCCATCTCTATAGTAGTCCATTTTTGTTTTCATAGTTCCATCTTAATTATTATGAACATGGATTTTTTTATTCATTTTAACTTAAAATTTCAATTTTGAGTGGAGGGTTCATGCTAAAAACTTGAATTTGTTGTTTGGATTTTTGCTTGTTTGCTTTTGCAGGCCCAATATACTCTCAGTCACAAGATCATTGTTTCTTCAAGAGAGAGAGAGAGAGAGAGAGAATGTTTGCTTCAAAGAAATCCCCTTTGAGAGATGCTAAACCTAGCTCTGTTGACCCTGTCTATAACCCCTTTGATACTGATGAAGACACAAAACATAAAAAGTATAATTCCTCTAAGAAGACTTTAACCAACACCAACCCCTTTGATGATGTTGTTGATGCCAGTGCCCACTCTTCATCATCTTCATATGCCCTTTCATCCGCCAATCGAAGCAGGTATAAAAATGATTTCCACGACTCTGGGGGATTGGAGAGCCAATCACTGGAGGAATTGGAGAATTATGCTGTTTACAAGGCTGAAGATACTACAAAGTCAGTGAACAATTGTTTGAAAATAGCAGAGGAAATGAGAGAGGATGCTACTAAGACTTTGGTGATGCTGCACCAACAGGGCGAGCAGATTACAAGGAGTCACCATGTTGCTGTTGATATTGACCATGATTTAAGTCGGGTATCCCTCCTCACCTAGTGGAATAAGGCTTTGTTGTTATTTCTGCTGTTGTTATTGATCTTGTTATCCCTCAGTGCTTCCTATGCGAGGAGCTTCTTCATGTTGTTATACCTTTGTGAAAAACTTTGCCACTGCTTTTGTTATGCAGCCCCCTGGAAAGAGCTTGCAATTAGTATTGTGGAATACTTTTTGACTCTTTTGTTGCTGTGTTAATAGGGTGAAAAGCTATTGGGAAGTCTTGGTGGCATGTTCTCCAAAACTTGGAAGCCAAAGAAGACAGGCACAATAAATGGCCCTGTTATTTTTGGAGGTTAGCATTTTCTTTCTACTTGTTCACCCTTGTAATTTTAATTATTTTGTGTAGTATAATAACCTTACACATTGCGCGCCTTGTGATACAGACGATCCGGTGAGAAGGAAGGGCAACCACTTGGAGCAAAGAGAGAAGTTAGGATTGACTTCTGCCCCTAAAGGGCAGTCAAAGTCACGTACAACACTTCATGATCCAACAAATACACTTGAAAAAGTTGAGGTTCGTATCGACTTGGTGAAGATTAACTGTTGTTTAAAGGCATATGAAGTGATGAACATGACAAAGCTTCAGTTTCTTGTTGCTTTAATATGTGATAATCACTGAATAGGTGGTTTTCTACCATTGTTCTGTCACTAAAGACAATTCACTAGTTTGGAGCCAACCAGTTTTATTCAGAAAACACTCATAATTTTGCAACTGTCCTCTTTTCACATTAGTCACCTATATTCATTATTAGTCCAACCAGGAGACTCTTAATTTTCGTTTTTTGATTTTCCACTTTGCCTTGTACAAAACTGTAATGTTTAATTTTAATATTGAATTCAGCTGCTGAATATAATAGAATGTCCTGAAACAGGTTGAAAAAGGTAAGCAAGATGATGCACTGTCGGATTTAAGTGATCTCTTGGGAGAACTGAAAGACATGGCCACTGACATGGGATCTGAAATTGAGAGGTAAGTTTACTGAATTGGATTCTATGCTTTCTCTAATTTTACCTCAAAGAGTCTTCAACATTAACACTGAATCATAAGTTTTCATCGGAATGCATTTTTTTTATTAGAAAATATGAGAATTGATTTTCCTATAAATCAAACACGGCCTTAGATCTTTTGCAGTAGTAACTGACACCAATGTTTGCTAGTAGTATAATTATCAGAAACATTTCTCTTTTCCTCTTGATGTCATAATTTATTTTGAATTTGGTAATGTTGCAGGCAAAACAAAGCCTTGGGCGGTTTTGATGAAGATATGGAGAAGTTGAACATTCGCATGAATGGTGCTAATCAACGTGGTCGTCGTTTACTTGGAAAATAGGAGTATATATATCATGACATTGTTTCCAACTTTGCCTATTTTCTTCCTCCTTGGCACCTCTACTTTTCATCATTCAATTAAAGGAGCTTCGAACGCTGTAGGAAACTCTAGTTTCAAATATTGTATTGTTCACTCCGCTTGTGAAAAACTTCTCTGAAATATAGCATTCATTAAGATAATTCATGGTTCAACCGTCACTATCATGCTTCATACGCCACCTTCTCCAGCATGATTTGAAGTACTTAAACCTTATACTCTCACTAGGAAACAGATACGTGCATATCGCATTATTTAGCATCACATAAAATTTACGCTTTGTGTTTCAGCTTTGAAGAGCTCCCAAGTTTTCTAGGAAGATCTATATATTAGACTTGGGCTTTAAACTCAACGTGCTATACTGGGCTGATGTTCTACTAGGCCCACACGGTACAGTTCTTAAAATTTTCAAATAATGCTTTAGTCCATCTAAGACACCTGCATCTATAACATGGGCAGAATGGGTTGGGTTTTGGCCGTGAATAAATATACAAATCTTAGTTCTTTGTAATAAAGTGGTGCGTGCAATTGAGATAGAATTAATTGATGGCATTGGCTGCTGCAGAAGAGTGAAACAAGATCACTTTTGGATGGGACATAACAAGACTAAATTTGAACAAACAATTTATTCACAATTTGATGGTACAACTTGCATGTTTCTTCAATATTAAATTATTGCAGAGGTTGTAAATTTCTAGTGAAGACAATAGCTCACTAATTACAATTACCATGAGCTTGCAATTGCATAGTCCTAGTGTCTAGTTACCATGTTATATAGGAAAAAAAACATAATAGTCTAAAGTTTTCGATGTCTAGCAGTAGTGCAAGCTGGAGCATCAAAGTTGGGGTATACAATAAATGCAATGGACAAAGGAGCAATGTATATTGGAGATCGTACATTATTGTGTACTGGATCCAATGTTGGAAGATCTCCCTCGTTTGTTAATTCCAGTGGAATACCATTCAGCACCATGGTTTGGCTTCTGAGGTAATCATCTTGTGGAGTTAAGTGGTACTCCTCCCTGAATGTGACCTCTGACCCTTTTGTTCCAACCCAAGAAAATGTCTTCTTGAGATAATCGAAGAAAGAATTTTCTTTATGTACGGTTGTGGCCATTTCATTTTCTTCAGCACTTGCAGCAGTCACAGGGTTTTGAACAGTGAGTATGAAATGAGTCTGATTGCTTAAATTGATCAGCAATAACGTTATACCTGCCTGTAGAATGAAGTTGATAAGAATTTGAAGCATTGGAACAGCCAAAACAAATCCTCTCAGATAACTAGCATTACGTAAGGTCACAGGATGTAAAGCAAATATCACTTTAAAGAAAAAAAATTGCTAGCAAATTAACAACAAAGATGCACTGCACCTAAAACACAGCTACAAAATGTGGCCTAGGGGCGAGGGATTTGGGTAGTTTGAGGAGTCAACTAATGGATCAAGCATGAAACCAACTTCTAGTATGATTACATAAGTATGATTAAGTTATATTACACAAGCAATCAATGGGCGTTGCTAATGCCTCGGTTCCCTCGAGAACCAAGTTAAAATTCAATCTTTTGTAGAATGTCAGAATGTTAAGCTTCATATGATGTTATACCAGGGTTAATATTTCAAAAATTGGAATGGTAATACAACATCAAAAATAGAAGACTGAACCACCCAAGCTCGTGACTCACTAGTATTATCTCTTTCTATACAGTTGAAGTAAATTACAGCACTTACTCTGTCTTTTGAACAATGGGCATAAGTGCGTAAAAAGGGTGAAGAAACATCATTTGAAACTGCAAGAACCTTCTTTCCCATTAATCGATGCCACAAGAGTGCACTATTCAGAGACAAAACCAGAACCTAGGATTAGATATGTTGAACAATGACAAATAATCACAATAAATCTTCAAGTAACCCCCGAGAGAAAAAGAGTATTCTCTTCTCTCTTTTTTGCAATTTCATGTAGTACACTAGTACTTGCCTGTAGTAGTCAGGATTGGGAGTTAAAGTCGTTGTATTGAGGAGGCCGTAGTTCCCTCCAATTAAAGTCTGCCTGCAATAGACTTTAGTGCTGTAGATGGATGCAATTCCAAGTTGATCTAAATACCTGAGTCATTTAAATTTCCAAACTTATAATTAATCACAAGTAATTGTTTTGCTAAATAGCATCATAATCCTTCCTTTAGCAATTAAAAAGAGGGGAAAAATGATGGAATAAAAGGACAACCAAGATTACCCACCAAAAGCTGTTTAGAAATGTGTTAGAAACATGACCACCACCACTGTTGTATGCTCCACCAGCTTCTCCAACCCATGCAGAAGACCAAGGACCATATTTTTGAATGGTTTCTGAAAGGTTGCCGAAAATTGATTCCACCCTGCTCAAGCGCTCAGGATCAAGAATCTTCGCTTCAAGATGCTCGTCACTACCTGGAAAAGAGAAATTAACTTAGAAACTGATAATGAAAGAACAGAAAATAGTATTTTCCCATCAAGTGATCAAAATAGAATTAAATATTTAGTTGCCAGTGCATGTCTTTCGATGTAAGAAGTTAGCAGTTATGGGAAAAGTAAATTAAAGAGATATGCATTGCAAGGTGTATCAAAGTGTACGATGGGGTAATTTTGCATGGTGCCATGGCACAAAGCTTTGAAGATAGTTAAGGAGGTGGGGAAAAGGGAGGCTGAGAATGAGAGGTATCTCAACATAATTAGTAAAGCCAACCTTCAACATATATTAGCTCTCTGTATAGTATGTACTTTGTCAAAATATGCCTTTCATAGTATATCACAGTAGATTTTTATCAAATTTTCTTACACATTTTGTTTTTCAGAAAAAATAGCATTTTCTTCTTATTGAATATAACATAAAGAGAAGAGAAGAAATAAATCCATAAGTGAATAATGCAGCCATCATGTTAATGAAAGAGAAGCAATAGTCTACCAATTAAACATGTGTCATATTCCCTCAACTCAACTAATTGTAACTGATGCCAATGTACTACTACTTATAAGAAATGAGAATAAATCAAAGGAAGGATTATATAGATATTTTAGAATATTAAATATGCAGTAAGAATGACTATAGTAGAAAGAATTAAGCAAGTGACCATCAAACCTGGACCCAAGTTATACAAATGATGGGTCAGAACATTGATTATGCCTGAACCCGAAACCTGAAGAAGCTTATTATACCACTGCTTTTCATAAAAGCCCCCAGGTGCTACAAGTGAAGGCTTGAACTTGGAGTTGTCATATAAAGTACTTAAAATTTGTTTAAGTTTTATCAAGTCTTTCCCATACTGTGTAACACCAACACTTGCACCAATGCCCTTACCACTCAACTCATTACCTACAGCAACATATGCAAAAATAAGGTTACAAAAACAACAAAGCAAGCCTTTTACCACTGAACTCATTACCCACAACAGCATATGATATGATGAAAGAATAAGGTTAAATCAAACAAAAATTAAAATAACAGATAATCATCTCTGTTGTCCTACCAAGTTCCCATGAATCAATCTTGTATCCCTTTGACACTGTGTACTTTATAAAATCATAAGCATTTGTAGGGTCCCATTCTCCTTCCCAAACATTATGACTGATCTGATGCCTCCCATGGAGTGCATTCAAGCCAAATGTCACAATGGCCCTGCAAGTTCAGACTCCAATTAAGTTACGTTGCAGTGATCTGTCTTCCACCACTTTCTGCTTTCCTTTGAACATAAATATCTTATGTAATCCAAAATACTGTTAGAAGCTATCAACTTTTTTCTAGTTAACTTGTATTCTCCCATTTTATCCTTCATTATTGATTATTTTAACTATAAAACTAACTATTACACATGATTTCTTACTCTTTTATGTAATTTTACCTTAAAACACAATGGATTATTTTGAAATTACTTCTCATCACATAACATAACTTATTTCACACAATCAATTATCACAATCATCAATTATTAAAATAATCAACGTTTTTTAACTCATCCAACCACACACTAAATCACGCACATTCTGACATTCAAGTTCTTTGTATCTTGCATACACACACAATGTGATGTTATGTAGTCAAGCCTAGACTGCAGCTCAAAACCTTAGATATCCAATGTAAAATTGACAAAAACAATCATTAATGCTAACCAATAATGCATGATAGAAGACCATAACCGATGAACTTCATTAACAGAAATAAATAAAGCATCGAATATCTGTGATTATAAGGGAAAAAGGACTACATTAAAGCTATATCCTTTTATTTGCATGGTTTTATGATCAAGGGTGACAAAATAGCTCAGATGCAAATAGAGAGCCTACTGTATCACCAAAGAAGGCATATACAACTGCATATCATTACGAAATAACCCAGAATAGAAGTAATGAGGCTCATGTATGTAGCAATGAAGGGATGCCCACTAGTATGTTTTGTAGTGATATACATTGGATCAGAAAAAGGCGTTCCCTTCAGCAGATATCAGGGTGAAAAATGTGACTCAATTAAATGAAAGCTATCGCTTTGTTATACTACCGTAATTAGAGATACATGATTTATTCTTCATACTTTTGCTTTGGCTGGAAGGAAGAGGGGGTGAAGATGATAAATGTCAATTTAAAAATTCTCACCCTGTCTCGTTGAAAAAATGATTCAGCCCATCCCATCTTTTCATGTGTAAACATCCTTTTGAAAATCCAAACAATGCACCTTGAATCTTTTGAAATGGATGACAAGGAGCCTTCAAACTTCCTACGTCATACAGAACCTGATCTTGCAAAGAACCCCCAAGTCTTATCCTCAAAGGCTTGAGAGCTATAAGGCAACCATTATGAAAAGAATAACATCTTGCTTAAAGTAACCATTCCAAAGATAATATTTACAAAATACATTGTAACTTCATGCAGTCATAGAACAATAGAACTTAATCAAAGTAACTGATTTTCTAAACCATATAGACATAAATAATGCAAATATACACACCTTGGATTGCCTTGGCGAGGAAAGGATGAGACAAGTCCTGAAAAATCAATCCACATTGAAGTGAACAATTAATGAAACTACTTGACTTCTTTCCAGAGTTCTAAATGGTGGAATTGGGAGTGAAAGAGAAACAAAATTTCTATACAAATGAATTCCAAAATGCCCACCAAATTTACAACAGATGAATAACCCCAGGGACAATGGTTGTAGTCACACTTATCATGAGGCCACCAATCAATAGTGGCACAAATAAAGTTATCATCTGTTTCGGCTTTTGTCTGAGCTCCATCTACTAGAAGCGAACCATGTGCAATATCTTGACTTAAAGTTGTTTGAACAGAAGCCAACAAGAGAAACAATGCAAGGTGGAATCCCATTAGTGAGTCAGTTGCAGTAGCATCCAAGTCCACCACAACTAGTCCAAATCAACTGCAGTAGGAGATAAAAGAAAAATTCCAGACAAATCTTCCAAAGCTACATAATTGCACTTTTCTTTTATCTGAAAGTATTTAGCATTTCAAAGTAACACAACCTAATGATTATTTCATGGTTAAATAGGGAACTAGGAACCAAAAAATAAAAAGTTTAAAAGGAGAATGAATATTATGATTGTCTAATTTTCCTGAAATGGAAAACAATACTCATTACTTAAAAAAATAAAATAATAATAATAAGATCATCCAAATTGATAATGTCATACTATAAGTTAGCACTATTGGATGGTAACGGTGAAGAGCAACACTGGTGTCCTATCATGGTGCGTGTGTCTTTGTCAAGACCGATACTCACCACTCAATTACACTAATAAATCCATTAACTAATGATAATGTCCTGAACAACTTTATTGTACCAATAAAGGAGTAACAAAAATTGAGGGCTGAATCTAAAGATTTCTTAACAGGTACACAATCACATATTTTTTTAAACAAATCCATAATTACCAGGGTCAATCAGAGACAGACCACTGCCAGAAATCTTATCAGATAGATAATGTGTGCACAAAATTTGTCGGCGGCATTAATCAATCACGATCAATTTTATATATTTTTAGTCTTGAAGACGTAGAAACAACCCTTAGAATAATGGTTGCAAACTAAGTAATAAAAAAACCTATTCAGTTTTACAATAAAAAAATGATGATAATGAGAGATCTCAACAAGACATATGAATTCATTAGTATTAGATCATACACAATAAATATCAAGGACTAAAGTGAAGTGGGTTTTGACCAGCCATGACACCTCAACGCAAAATCTAGAGCTATCAGCTGAACCACAAAGGAAGAAAAAGGCAGAAGACTAAAACAGAAAAATAAGAACAAGGGACAATGAAGGGACGCACTTTAGGTAGAAAGAAAGAAAGGGTATGAATCAAAAGACATAGAGTTAGAGTAAGGAACCTCAAATGGAGTTCTTGATCGCCATTAATGACCAACTGTGATGGGTCAATAATGCGGTGCTGATAAAAGGTGCTTTTCTTTTTCTCTGAAGTGTCTTACGCTGTGAGGCACCCACACTCCCACCCACAGTATTAATACAATAATAAACCAATGGGATCCATGCCTTCATTGCATTTCAAAGTTCAAAGAAAAATGCCTCTCACACGTTTTATATTCACGTTACCGTACGAGACCGCCGAATCGAAAGCTGTTGTACTCCCTTTCTATAACAAGATTAAGCTCATTATAATCATAATAATCATTTTTAGTACGTATAAAAACCCAGTAAATAATAATATTTTAGTTTAAATTATAATATATAATGTTATTGCATAACTTATTATATCTTAATTTTTATCATGTCTTTAAATAAATGTTAAAAAAAATTTGTTACGTTATTTTCTTTTAGGTTTTTTCTTACGTCTATTTCACACCATATTAAAAAAATGTAAGAATATCATTGCTTTTATAATTATAGATAAAAATTATATAATATAAAACAGGTACTTATTAAACCATATTCATAAACAATATTATTAAATATATATGCTATTTATACATAGCATAAAAAAATTGTTAATTTTTAATTAATATCTCTAAAAACGTTAATCAGCGACACTAAAAGTAACATGGGCAAAGATGAATTTAGCGATTGTTAAAATGGAAATGTGTTGGATTTGGAGAGGTTCGACTCTCTCACGTGTCGGTTGGTTGTCTCGGTTCCGAACTTCAGGCACCACAAAATCTAACTTCAGAACAGTGTTTTTCTTATGCGTGTCTAAAATATAGTACAACAAAAATTTAAGAATATTTATTGTCTTCTTTTATATATTTATTATTATTTTAATTTTAAAAAATTATATAAAACATTTTTACTGTCAATCTGGTATAAATAAATAAAAATATTTTAAATAAAAATTACAGTGTTTTTTATATTTTATTAACGAAAGTTGGATAAAATTATCCTACATGATTAAACTCTTTAATACAGTTACGTCTGGGACTCAGACTCGGTAAGGAGATTAAGCTAAAAGACCCTTGTTAATAAATAATAATACTTGTAAAATGACAATAGAATAAGCTACAAATTTATATATAATAAAATTTTAATAATACTTAGATAATATTATAAATTTTAATGCATTAAATATATTAATAAAATAATTAATTATTTGTTAAAATTAAATTTTAAAAATTTATTAATTTACTTTTTACTAATAATTTTATTTTTACTTTTAGACAACTAGTATAAATATTTTAGATAGATAAGAGTGTTTGTAAAAAAATTAATAATTAATATTGTTTTAAACTTTTACATAGATAAATTATTAAATAATATAATTTTGATTAAATATTCTTTATTTATTGATTTCACATCTTACAAAAGTCAAGTAAGTTTTTAAAAAAATATTTTTTTCTTTATTTATCTACTTAAAAAGTAATTTTGATGGTGAATGAAAAAGAAATATTAATGCTTAGAATTGTCGTCTATAAAAAGAGTTAATGTGCGTTTCATAATTAAAGGATAGTGATGAAGATAAATGATATTTGCAAGTTATAGAAGACTAATCTTGTGGGAGAAGTTTAAAGTGCTTTGATGGAGAACCATATTCCGTAGAATAAGGGAAGTCTTCTTCCTTGCTTTTGATGCCAGCAAGAATGTTCTTCGCTTCGCCTTTCCATAATCTCCAATTCACTCAAATTTTAGTATTTTACACTGTTTTCATAGTCCCAAATTGTTGACAACAAATCTTAATTGTTATTGTTAAATTATTCAAAATATTAATATACTTTTCGATATTTTTATAAGATCTTTTAAAAGATATATTTTTTTTAGTTTTTAATACAATATTTTTACTAAATTTTAAGAATATTCATTATTTTTTTATGTGTTAGTCATTTATTATTGAGTTTTTTTTTTAATTTCTTAATAATTAATACTTCTTCTAATCTTTTTTTAAAGTATCTTCAATTAAATTATATAAATTATTAAAATTAGTTAAAGTTGATTATTTTTATTTTTTAAAATTATTATGACACAAATTTTTATCTTATTTGTTATCATTGAACCTAATTCTACTATTAAAATTTGAGTGTATCTATTGTTACTCCTAAATGTCTATTGTCATTTACATTTAAGTGACTTTTTGTCTAATTTTTTTCCGTCTTAAAACCATACTAATAAGAAATATATTTTAGACAATATGAGTAACAATAGACACGAGACACTTGCTTAAAATTTATGATAAAGTTAAGTGCAATTTTTTAAATGTTGTTAGTGTGGTTTACTGATCAAAATTAGAATTGTCTTGATAACTTGTGATAATATTAAATACAAATCTAATTTTAATATGTAAATAACACTAATAAAACCTAAAGAATAATATATGTATATATAAATTTTTGTCCAAAATCCTTATCTTTGTTAATTTGATTTAAGTTCCCACCAACTTTATTTATTAACAGAAAATAAGAAAAACACATTAAATGCTTCATACAAAATATAAATTGCCTTATAAAAAAATATTAAAATATTCTAAAATGAGCCTTATAAAAAGAACTTAAAGAAGCATAATAATAATATAGTTTAACTTCAACTAAAGATAAGTTTGAAATATTGTAATTAAATTTTAAAAAATTAATATATCAACTATTTTTAACAAATTTTAAGCTGTATAATTTAATTTAAAGAAGCATATAAAAGCAACCGGAAAGAACATTCATTATTGGTCAGACTATTACACAACTTATACAAACTATCAATTTAGACAAAGTAAAGATCAATAATTTTCTTATCCAAGAGTGAATGATAATGCAAATTTATCTTAATAAAGAATTCGAACAAAAGATGTCTTGGCTTATGAAAATGATTGGAAGAGATAAAAGTAGATCGAACTTTTGGTCGTTGGTATAATAATCTTGTACTTGTAACAATGTAAGCTACGAGGTGATTTCTCCGACGGTAACAAATATTGTTTCCTAAAAGATAATATCTTTCTGTTAAAAAAAGGTTTCGTTTCGTCTCATTTTTCACATTATCATGAATACAGATTAAAGACGGTATCTTTCTTACTATTCTTCAAAACAAACATCCAATTTAATACAATTTTGAAAAGACAGAATAACTTTATTTTTCATAAGACGATTCCGTGTAAAATTGAAGTAATTGGAAAAATGTTGCTGGACAAATGAATATTTTACAAATTCATTTGCTTATATATATATATATATATATATATATATATATATATATATATATATATATAATAATGTAAAACAACATTTTTACATGAAAGTAAATGGAACCAATCTTGATTATTAAATTTTATTATAAATAATTAAGATAAAATATATAAGTCATATGTGTTTTTTAAAGTCTTATGGACATTTTTGTGGTTATGTTACTTTTTAAATATTTTGATTTTAATTATTCGTATATAATTGTATAGTTCAAATTTACTTCTCTCTCATGTGAAGAAGTTTCTCTCACACTCATTAAGAAATAAAAATATAATTAAAACACAAAAATTAAAAAAATTGTTTCCTAAGAACAATAAAAGAAAAAGTTATTTTAATTTTTTAGAACATATAAACTTTTCTCTTAAACACTCTATGACTCTTCAAGATAAATATTTAATTTTCATCTTGCAACTCTACGAGATAAGAGTATAAAGGAAAGAAAAATAAGTTAAATGCAAGTTTAAATTATTTTTAACTAATCTAATTTGAAACAAAAAAATTAGGTCAATATATATCTTTGACTTCTCTCTTATAAATTTGGGTGACCTTAGATTTGTTATAAAATATTTTATTGTAATAAATTTCAACAATGTTCACTTTATTAAAATAAACACATATTTTATTTTTATTATCTACATCAATAATCATAATTTAAAAGACTTATTATATTATATCATAAAAAGTATATCATACACTTTGTATCATTGTGAGTCAATATTCATATGTTATAACCACACATGATACATTAATGCTAACTAAAACTCATAATATTATGGATGTATTAACAATAATTTATTATTTTTCAAGATAGCATGGCAGTATCATGAGAATATATGGCTTATCTTTTAGAAAAAACAATAACCTCTTATAACCGGAGAGACATTGGTAGCATATAACTAAAAGTCATTTCTTGATGTTGCTTCACCTGAACAACTTTCCTTTACATGCTTAGGATTTCTACAATTTCTGTTAGATTATTTGAATAATTTTATTATTGTAGCCTATGTAACTTATAGCATGACTCTAATTAATGATTTGATGTGATGGTGGTTAAATATAAAATATAGAGTCATCGAGGGTATAATTGTAAATACAATTATAAGGAAGCCCTCATCTCTCTCTTCATATAAATAAAAGAGCGATTACCAAATAGGAGTTACGACATTCTGTATTTTCTATCACTTTCACGGTCTCTAAATGTGCTCACGGTAAACGCAAGAAAGGAACTTTCTCTCAACCATCCGAGAGGAGCTAAAAGAGGAAGGAAGAGTTGGAGAAGATACAAAGGATCAACGACATCAAAGAGAGATGTAATATCAAGGAACAATGGATTCAGGTTAATGTTCTCTAAACCTTTAATTGTATGAGAACCATGTATTGTGTTGTGAAAACAATGTAATTTAAGATCTAATGAAAAATAGTAATTTCATAATAGTCATTGCATCATGAAAATTACATAATAGATTAAGAAAAATCTAACAATTTCATCAAATTTCACTGCACTTGAAAACATGACATTCCAATCATATGTAGACTATACTAAATAGGATTCTAGAAAATAGAAAAACAAAATACAATAGACATATTTTTAAGTATCTAAGTCTTTCTTAACCACAACTTTTTCAAAACAACACTTCTTGTATCACATTTTTTTAATATGAAAAACTAAAATTATATATTATATAATTTTAACATATTATATAATATATATAGCCTTTGACATCTACATTTTTCAAAATAAATTTATGATTTATATCACGATACTCCAAGATAATATTATAAAAGGAAAAAGAAACTCAAATATAAGTTAAAATTGTTTTAGATTGGTACAACTTAAAAAATACACACTTTAAAATAAAATATTTAAAATTAAATTTTACAAATAATTAATTAAAACAAATACATAAAAGGTACAATTAATTTAGATTTAGATAAACAAAAAAGAAACATATTAGATTTGAGCTCTGTTTGAGAGTTTGTTTTTTGGAGAGGAGGAGAAGGAAAGAAAAGACCTATGTAATGATTATTCTTATTTAAGAGTTTTTTTGATAAGAGGGAGATGATTTATAAACCTTCCTAATCATATATATCTTTCAATACTTCCAATTTAAAGATTTTGTGTTAACTTTTCTCTCTTCTCTTATCTTTCAAACTCTTTCTTTCTCTCAAATAAAACTTTAAGAAATAAAATGAATCAATTTAAAAACTTATATAATTAACACTTGAGATAAATTAATATTAAAAATCAAAGTTATTAATCTAGAAAGTTTAAATAAAAATGTTTAAAATAATTTAAAAATAAAAAAAATGTTAAATATTAATGAAGTCACGTGTTGCAAAAACAAGAATAATAAAATAAGAGATATTAGACTCATAAATTGTAATAGAAAAATGGATACTTTTTACTCTAAATTATTTATTTGATCTGTGAATGAATAATTATCCTAAATTATAATTAAATTTATACTGTAAATAATTCTTCAATAAAAAAATATTAAATAGATACTTAATTAAACTTATTCTACTTATCTAAATTCATCTTAGTTCTATTTTTTTTAACACACATCCTAAAATTTTTGTGCTTTAGATGCAATCAAAATAAAGAGAAAAAGAAACAGAGGAGAGAGAAATAAGAGAATAAAAGATAGAGTAAAAAAAAGATATTTAGATGTGTTAAAATATGAAGTAAGAATCTTGCCTTAGACTATAGTGATAAACTCATTTGGAAGTATGGATCTAGGTGAAGACGCTTTTAAACTCCACCACTACTATAATCTCATGTTGCCAAGGTTCGTCAACAAATAAAGTTTATAGAAGAATGTTCAAAAGGCACGAGAAAAGAGAAAAAAAACGTAACAATGATCAATAGTGAAGGTTACTGTGACGAGTTAAGTAACAATGGATAAAAAAAAAAAAGAAGATAAGAGACACTAGAGATGACGACAACAACAGAGATAACAAAAATTGATTAAATTAATTATGAGTATGAATTATAACAAAATATGTTAGTTAAATTAAAGTGTCTAACATTTGACAAAATTACAAGCTAATACATCTATTTAAAAATTTTAAAAACTAATTTATTCTATACTTAAAATTTTAAAGATTAATTTGAGAGTTTATTCACTTTAAAATGTTAGAAAATTTGTAGAGTAAGTTTGAAATTCAAAGTACTTCGAATTATAGACAATATCTGGTAACTCTAATCTATGACACATTTTCTATCATGTCCGGTTTAAACTTTTGCAATTTGTAATATATAAAAAATAATAATTATTTAACATATTATATAATATATATATATATATATATAATTATTACTAATTTAACTATAAATTTAATTACAATAAAATTAATGAATCATAAATTAATATTTTTATTAATTTAATGATGGGTTTTAAAACTATAAATAAATTATTAATCAGCATCCCGACGCAAATCAAAATATATCTCCTGCAAAAATTTGATTCTATTCAAACCTTGCAATCCAATTACACACTAAAACGTCCACAAGTTAAATGATATGGGTATGACCTGTATAGGACTACCGTCAAAACAATACACTTTAAAATCAAAGTATCCAAATTTGAAAAATTGACTACTAATTGTCGAACAAAATATTGACCCAACACCTAAAATTTAAAATGCTGATGTATAAGCAATGTCCCATAAGGTTGACATTCAAGTCATAACTCGTGCCCAACGGTAGAAATCAAATGAATTTTTTTATAAAAAATCCAAATTAAAATTATTAAAGCCCCAAATATAAATCAATAAAAAAATTCAAATTCAAATTTAAAACTTTAAACTCACAACCCAAAATCAGCAACAAATAAGAACATCACTATCCGTACAACGTTTCTTACATTGAGAATATGAAACACACCAAAAATTAATTTTACCTTTCTAAGCATCTACGATAAAAGTGATCTTGTTCAACATGTGTTTGATTGAATCATAATTTGTTTCCTAGTTTATAGGAATTTGTTTATGCTGTTTAAGTTTTTAATGTTATGTTTTTATATTTCTTTTTTAAATTTTAAATAATTTTGTTTATGCTTGTAAAATAAGATATTGTTATTTGATACAATTGAGCTTTTTAAATAAGAGCCTTTTAATAAAATATCATATGTTTTCCTCCTTTTTTCACTATTCTTGTAAGCTCAAAAGAACAAAGTGGTAACAAAGCTATTCTCTTTGAGGGATCTGGAAAAAATAATAATGAAAGAAGATATATCACACACAATTAGTGCACTCACTTTTAATGATGAGGAGTACGAATTATGGGCCCAAAGAATGACTGTTCAACGGGTAAGTGAGAAATAATAAAAGGTTTTTACATTAAGTTTTTGAAATATTGTCACAAAAGAATTGATTTTTAATTCAATTGTTTGAGCATAACAGATACAAGATTAATTAAAATAATAAATTATAAAATTAATTTTAAAAACTAGAATAACACAATGCACGTCTTGGTTGAACTTATCAGAGAGGAGCCTAGGGCATATGAGTTTATTCATTCAATCTTTTATGTTATTCTTCTATTAACTCTAAATTCAATTTTTTTATGATTACCAATCATTCATACAAATACCATTAATACTCAATGGTCATGTAATATTAATATTTTTTTTCACTAAATTAACATCCCCAATAGTTATGCAAGACATCAATTTAAGAAAACATAAAACATCTATAAACTTTTATAAGGTTCAAAAACCCTAAAAGGTCTTTATAATTGGCCTTCCCTCATATGAGCACGGTCGTGCAAGGCCTTAAGTATGACAAGAGCTGTGATTACCCATGAAATTTGCTTACTCTTGTTTAAATTCTGAACTTATAAGAGCTCTTACAGGTTGGTCTTGAGCCTTTATTAAAGAGTTTAGTTGCATTGCAAGGGCTGCCATTTTGTTCATTAGTGGACTGTTCCTCTCTGCTTGGTAGACTAGGGTAGTCTCTTTCTTCTTGATGTTGTAAAAGTTAGTGGTGTGCCACTGGAAGCTAGCATATGTCATCTCATCAATTAGCTTGTATGCATTATCTAAATCTTTTCTTATGAGGGACCCTCTTGCTGCGCATTGATTGTAGCCTTGGTAGTAATTAATAAGCCACTATAAAATATTTGCACTTGTCTCCATGTTGAAAAATCATGATGGGAACACCTCATCAAAAGCTCTCCAAATCACTCTCATGCCTCGAACAAGGATTCTGCTTCATATTGTTAGAAGCAACATATCTCTTTCATAAGCTTAGAGGAACTTGATGGAGGAAAGCACTTTCCCAAGAATTGAGTGAGATCTCCTAAGTTGTGATGGAATTGGCTGGGAGTGAGGCGAAACATGCATTCACCTTTTCAGATACTGAAAAGGGGAAAAGGCGGAGTCAAATGGCATTGTTGGAGACTCCGTTATATTTGATGGTATCAGTCAATCGGAGGAACTTTGTCAGATGGAGATTGAAATCTTCGTTAGGCATGTCTCCAAACTGTATGGAATTCTAGACCATGGTTACGAGTGTTGGTTTCAATTCAAAATTGTTGTCCTCTACATTAGGAGTTGCGATACTTCTAGGAGTGCCTCTAGTCGTGGGTGTCATGTAATCTTTAATTAATCTTTTCTCCTTTGTCATTCTTTACTCTCTCACTTCTTTCCTTTGTCTATGCACTTTCTCTCAATCTCTAGATCAAATAAACAAGTTGTAAAGCACTTAGAACGAGTGAGCATGCACTAAAAAAAATTAGAAAAAAATAATAAAATAAAAATAAAAATAAATAAAGAGAATTTTTTTTTGAAAATAAACAAAAAAAATTAAAATAAAGTAAAACATAAATTGTTCAAATCAATTAAATTTGATTTTTTTTAATATTGAAAAAGCAATCCCTGACAACAACGGCAAAAACTTGTTTGGTGGGCAAGTGTACCCGTTAAGAAGTAATAAAAGGTTATTAAATTAAGTTTCTAAAATATCATCCCACAAGGATTAATTTTCAATTACTAAGAATTTTTTAATTTAATTATTTGAGCTTTAAAGATACGAGATCAATTAAAATAAGAATTTATAAAATTAATTTTTTAAAAAATAGAATAAAGAACATAATGCACGCCTTAGTTGAACTTCTTGGAGAGAAACCTAGGGCATATGAGTTTACTCATTCAATTCTTTATGTTATTCTTCTGTTTAATTCTAAATTCGATTTTTTTGTGATTACTAATTATTCATACAAATACTATTAATATCCAATGGTCATGCAATATTAATATTCTTTTCTCTACATTAACATCTCCAATGGTTGTAACATCCTCGTTTTCATTATTTGAATAATTGATGAATTGTTTAGTATTATATAGTATTATGATGTATTTGAAAATGAATTTTTGAGCATTTTTGGAGAAGTCTGGTGCAGGGGATCTCGTTTAAGCGAGACTGAGCGCCCAAAACTACATGTTTTTAGGACAATCTTGCTCAAACGAGGTAGGATAAATTCAACAATTGTCATCTCGCTTAGACTAGCTGAGATTTCACCCAGGCGAGATGAACCGCTCAGGTGAGGACTCATAGGAAAAATGCACAACTCTCTGGACGTCATCTCGCTCAAGCGAGATTGGGCTCGTTCAAATGAGAATATCAGAAAATAGTTGGAGAGACTATTACACAAAATCACAATACAATAATATTCTTTATGTAAAATCACTAACTAACAAGTGTATTAGGTAGTTGTAACAAGTAATAAAATTTTGAAAATCAATATGAGTCCCAAGTATTGTCCACAAGGATCTTATTTTCAATTACCACTTCATAAATAGACAATTAGTTGAGCCAAACAATTCATTTGAAAGATTTATAACATGTGAAAATATGAGAAACAAGAACATTAAAAGGTAATAAAAAAAGTAAAACAGAATACAAATTTTATATAGAAAATGCTATGTGAAAAATAGTTATGAATTACTTCACTAGATTTTCAATTGCAATATAATCATGTTTTGGACTCTTGAGAATTTTAATTGATTGATAATCAATTTTACTTCTTTAACCAAAGGACAATTCCTTGCCTCAATGATCCTATTAAACCTCTCTAATTCCTTAGGTGAATTTCAATCAAATATTGCATTAAGTTCTAGAAATTATAGGATTAATAGATTATGATACTTATTCCTAAGATCTCAATAACCTAGGCATATGATTCAGATATGAGAAATAAACTCAATTTCCATTGATGAAGATTCCTTTAAGTTTAATTGAATGAAGGATTAGTTCAAAACTGTATTAAGAACACAATCACATACTCAATTCAATTAAAATCTTAAGATCCAAATCCAAAATTACCTCACAATATCAAATCTAGATCCATAGATCCCTAACCAAAAAGGTTTAGAACAACATTACAATGGAAGAAGGATAAGTAAGAGAAAAAGAAGAGAAGGAGCAGTGGAACATCTTCCAAGACTCAATATTCACCTTGATTCCTCTAGCAATGAAGCTTGAAAGTCGCTTCCAGTCCCTCTCTTTGACTTGCTTTGGAAGTTAAAATAGTTACAAAATGAAAAAAATGACAAAATGATCAAAATTCCTTAAATCTAAACTCTTAACTTCTATTTATAATGTTTTTCTTGCCTTTTTCACTTTTACAGTTTAATCTTTGAGGATTATATCATGAAAGGTCTTCTAGAAGCTTCTACAACTGAAATAGGAACTCAATCGTCTAAAGTCGACACTTAGAAGTGATTTTTAAAATTCTGTTATTTTGCGTGGACACTTTAAGTGGTAAGAGTGTCCACGCGCAAGTGTTTTGTATGGAAAAGCCTCACACGTAGCTACTCTCAGCGCCCAGAGTGTACACGCGCAAGGTGTGTGAGAAATTTAGCCTTGGGCATAGCTACTCTCAGTGATTAGAGTGTACACGTGCAAGGTTCTTCAGGATTTTTGCTGCTGGAGTGTTCACTTTCAACACTTAGAGTTGCTACTCACTTGATCTTCATTGATTTTCTTCTTCAAAGTGTTAACTCTATGCACTTAAAGTGGTTATGCCCAGAACTTATCATCTGATTCTTGCTCTTTTAGGCTCAATCTTTTTGCTTTTTTCACTTCAATATCAACTTCAAATTCTCAGCTCAAGCTTCTGCACAAAAATTAATTTTTTTTAAGTTAAATTGTTCAGAATTGGAATAAAATCTAAAATTCTAAACTATTTACACAATTATGAATATTAATGCAATTTTTATGGTATTTCCAAGTTTATTTGGTAATTTACTACTTATTTATTAACAAAACTATATTAAAAAGGTAGTAAAATATGGATTTATCACCATCCCAAACTTAGAACTTTACTTGTGCTCAAGCAAATCAAATCAAATCAACTCAAAGGGAAGTTAATTCACTTCTCAAAATTCAATCAACAAGCTATCTTTCTTTAAGATTTTTCAAATTTCAAATTTTGTGTTTTTCTGATTCCATTCATTCACTACAAAAATCACGCTGAATTAATCTCATTATAACAAGAGCTTGTCATTTGAGTTCATATAGTTCAGCAAAGGTTCATGTGAGCAAGATTAAGAAACATGATTCACAGCTCACAAGTAGTGTTTTCCTCATTACTCAGTAGTGTTTAGGCTCAATGTTTACTCTAAAAAATCATCATTTTCACCACACTCTACCATAGGCTTGCAAATATTCTCAATCTCCTCTACAATTATACAGCAAATCACATATCAAGAGAACTTTTTCAGGTGATATTGAGGTTAATGGACAGGTAGGTGTTTAATCAATTAGGGAAACAATGTGGTTATTTCTAAATAGAAAAGATGCAATTCAAGTAGATGAAAATCAAGACTTAAATTGAGATTGCATTCCTTTTCTTATTTATTCGAATCTGCATAGAATTTTAGAGTTTTTACAACATTTAAAGTACTATCCATGCATCATTCATGCACAGAATTCTTTTTCAATTCTTTTCTGTTTTTCACACTTTTTAACACTTTACTTTTCATTTTTATTTTCAAATAACTCAGATTATGCTGTTGTTCACCCCAAACTTAGAACTTTGCTTGTCCTCAAGTAATATCATATAAAATGCCACCCCAAACTTAATTTTAAAAATCATCTTTGATTAAACTCAAATTGCCTCTTTCTAATTTGGATATGTCTAATAGTTTTTCAGTAAGGCTTATATTAGAGTTTTACCAAAGAAAAGGTTAAAGACTCAAAAGGGGTGAACTAGGATTCTCAACATAAAGGAGGGTCATTTAGGTTAACTAAGCATGATCAAAGAAGGCCTCCATCATACATGTAAGATCTGTAAATTACATATTCAATTAAGAAACAATGCAAGTTCTAGAGGTACAGCAAAATATGAGATTAATTTCAAACATCAAGAAATGTTATGCATGAGCTTCAAGTCTTACTAAGGAATTTATACTGAACATGTCAAATATTCAAGCACACAATCCACTTTTTCATAACTATATGCATAGAGGCAAGACTACGTCATTTTGAAAATTACAAGTGTGATTTCATTAGAGAATGGAAAAAATTTCAGAATTTTCAATTAAATGCAGCTTAATGTCTAAACTTAGTATTTTTGTGTTTTTCTGGAAATTTTTCAGTGCATGTGAAACTAAACTCATGAACAAGAGGTACAGAATTCACCCCCTTTCATGGCAGCTTGTGCAAGTGTTAAAATCCATTGTGCTTGGGTGTTGTGTGATAGTGACATATTCTGCACAAAACACCAAAAGTTCCATCAATCAATTAGAAAAATAGAGTAATTAAAATGCAGAAATATAAACCAAATGAAAACTTATACTTCATTACAACTGTAAAATATTAAAATTGTTCTAAACAACTAAAATTTAACTAACTAAATATGCAGAAAATAAAGTTCCTAAGTACTAAAATTACAGAAATTGAAATTAAAAGAATAAATAGCAAAAAATAAATTCCTAAACTATTCTTCTACATCTTCTTTATTTGAACTCTCTTCCTCTTCTTCATCTTCTTCTTCACTCTCATTACTTTCATCCACTTCAGGTCTTCGAGGAGTGTTGAAGCAAGTTTTAAAAGAGGGAGGTTGTTGAATGTGGTGGCTGTAAGACATTGGGCATTTTCCACTTCTGACTCATAAAGTTGCTCCTTTGTCATGCCCATCTTCTTACCAATGTTCATCATTATATTTTCCAGCAAGAGAACTCCACCCTTGTTGCTTTCATGTAAGGCATTCTGCCTCTCAGCCAAGGAATCCTGTCTATCCAGAAT